AAGGGCGTTGGGAACGTCTTTTATTAAGAAAAGCAAGGCTGTAAATGTTCGTAAGAATTATCATCAGGATGTTATGAATTAAATTTTAATTACATGCATTAGAAATATTATTAAAAAATAAGAGAAAATTTTAGGTTAGTAAGACATGCACTTATTGTATTTAAATCGCTCACTTTGCTAAGAAAAGCTGGTTAAAACAGAAAAATAAATATATAATTTGTGAATTTAAATTAGATCTCACCTATGACCAAAGTCAATGAATGATTCATGCATGGCAATGTAACGTAATACAATCCAAAAATTTAAAGAGACTTCGCAACATTTTAAATCTCAAATATAAAATAAAGATTTAAATTATTAGTCCAAAGGGGCAATTTGCCCAGAAGGACTATTAATCTCATTTTGGCATTTTGCGTTGATTCACTACAAGCGTTGTTTCACTTTTCACGCGTTGTTCCCACCAAATATTATCGCCTTGTATTAAAATATTTAAATTAATTAAATAATGAAGAATCTGCATAAATGTATATATCTTTCTCGCATTGTGATTAAGACAACGGTACCTAGAGCCATCTAACTTTGGATAACAGAATCCTCCTGTGAGTATGGGCATCTGGAAGCCTAAATTTGGAATTTGTTTTATTGTGGATTTCATATTTTGTGAAAAGAATTTTTGATCAACAAACTCAAGAATTTCAAAGCGAGAAATGGCAACGTTGTACAGAAAGACATTTTTATCTCCAGCGCGCGACTGTGTATTGGAAATTCTAAAGATAAGCTCATTTTAAAATGATTTTGCGATATTGCTCTTGGTCTGAATTTTATGGTTTAAGTGCGAAGAACATGATATTCAGATATAGTTAGGTAGCACACAAAACGTTAAAAAAAGCCCCTTTAGATGTAATTTAAAATCTGAAACCTTTCAGATTTTTTTTAATTACGTTTATTGCTTTTAAATCGTTCAGTCTATCAAGCAGTTGCACATCGTTTGCATTTGAATTATAAATTTAAAATCTTACGCTTTGATAGATGGCAATACTCTTAGAACTGACTCTGCACGAGGCGGAATAAAATATAAATTAAAGGCCTTATGCTTCGCATTCCATAGATGGTTTTATTTTCATTTTCCTACAGATCTTGTTTCTCTTGAATAGTTAAGAGGATCTCATATCATTTAAAAACTGATATTCCGAATCATCTGCAACCAAATTTACTCACTCATCCATCATATTTTTGACTTTTTCCAACCTAAATTTTGAAATAGAGATTTTCTTGGGCAACAATGTTATATACAAATTTAGTCTACTTCCTCACCTGTAAAAAAAAATGAGGCTTTTTCCTAAATCTTTCAGATTTGCAATCTGACTTGAAAACAAGAAAGTTCAGATGAACAGAATTCTATTGCATTCTTTTTGTATGTGTGTTCTTATTATTTTTTTAATATGCTCTGCTTCTTTGTTCAAATATAAGCTTTTATAATATAAGGAGGGGGGTACAGTTAAAAATTTGCAATTTGGGTATTCAGTTTTATTTCTAAATTTATAAAATGCAGTCTTGCCTTATAATTTAAATACCTTTTCGTTTCAAAAGTAAGAGAAAAATAAAGTTCATTAAAGTTACCAGCCTATTTACGTTAAACTATTCATGTAATTGAAAGGTTTTCCAGATCTCAACGTTGAGTCAAACAATTTTTCAGTTATCCCCAATGCATTTACTATATAAACAATTACAACAACAAACCACTGGCAAGCAGTTTTGCTCATCACTATAATTTATTATGTAAAATTATGAAATTGTTATATCATGAACTAAATTGTATATAACATTACCTTATACATACGTTATATATAGCATTACATTATATGTAACATTAATATTGTAGTATATATATTTAATATATTGCATAAAATGTTTTACATAAAAACAGCAACATTCTCGTAATTTGCGTAGTAATATTTTCTACAATCAGAAAATTATCTATAGACAGATTTCAATTTAAAAAGGCGATCAAATTAAATCCTTATTTTTCGGGAAAAAAAGAAATCAAATTAGGAAAGTATAAACATTTTACTGGCCCAAAGGTTTATAAAAATGTTTTTTATAAAATAATATATTTAAATAAAAAAAGACATTTAAAATAAAATGTGCTTTTTATTTTAAATGATTTTTAATTTAAAATTATTATATTTAAAATTACTAATTTAAATAAAAAACTACATTAATTTTACATACATAAGCTTTATGCAATATTACTAATATGTAAACAAATTATTACTTTGTGAAAAAATTTACTAATAATTTATGTAAAAATTTGGCGATGTTCAGTCTATTCCTGATTATCTCAAAGAAAAGCATGAAACTCGTCATACACTTAGGACCTAATTTACAAAAACAATTGTCATTGTACAAGAATATAAAGAAAAAAAATCAAACAATCTGAAATTTAAAATTTTGTCCAGTCCATCTTAACTATTCTTAAATATATTCCAGGTATAAAATAAGAGCTTTTGCTCATAATATTTTAATACTTTCATTTCGGCAAAATCAGTGATATTCTAGGCAAAGAAGAGAAACCCAGGTGAACTCCACCACCACCCCCTGACGCAGGGACTTTTTCGATAAAACTAACATTGCCTAATTTTAAACCCTTAACGAAATCAAAGCCCAGCGGCCGAGCGGTAAAGTCGCTGAACACTGGTAGTTCGGTCCGAGGTTCGAATCCCCGCGAACGAGCTGGCTGCATGGGCGTTTTCGTGGTTTTCCCCATGAGTAACGTGTATACGAGCCAGTTTCCCTTAGAAAGTCCTCCACGAAGGCATCCCCCTCCCCTTAGGCAGATAGCCCTCGAGGCTTTGCCATAATCACACACACACACACACGAAATCAAAGCAAACAGAAAATCGAATAAGAGACATAATAGAAATCAGAGGAAACGAGTCAAGATGCAAATGTATGCAAAATCAAAAATAGAATTTTGCATACATTTCAACAGAACGGAATGAAATAATACTAATAAATAATAAATTCCAACAAAACAAAACAAAAAATATGAATAAGTCCCATCTTTGAAATGCCATCTGTAAGACTATTTATATTTCGGATATATCGTGCATTTTAAGTCAAAAAGAATTTAAATCAAAATTTCAACATAACAAAATGAAACAAACAACAACAAAACAACAAATTGATAAGTCTCACCTTTCAAATGTCATCTTTAAGACTATTCACATTTCGGATATTTTGTGGATTTTAAGTGAAAAAGAACTATATTCATTTCGAGGATCATGCTGCAATTTACTGAAGCAGTTTTTTTTTTTTTTTTTTTAAACATGTCCTGTCGAGAATTATTAAGCAGAAATTTTTTATTTTTCTATAAGAGACTAATTGTTTAATTTGAAAAAGAGTTATTAAAATATAAAACGCAATAGATAAAATTATACATACATAACATTATATATAATACGTATTGTATAAAACATTATATATATATATCTATGAATCCTAATAGGTTTCAAACAAATACGGATTTGAGGAGGTATGTGTATTTAATTATGGCAAAGCACACTAGGGCTATCTGCCTAAGGGGAGGGATGCTTTCGTGGAGGACTTTCTAAGGGAGTTACACATGGGTAAAACCACGAAAACGCCTATGCAGCCAGCCCGTTCGCGGGATTTGAACCTCGGACCGAACTACCAGTGTTGAGCGACTTTATCACTCGGACGCTGGCGAGCACAGATTTAAGGAAGTCGTGGAAACTAAAATAAGATTTACATACATATTTACCATAAGATCCTAGGCACACTATTTAGAGATTGCCTAATTTAATTACAAATGAATACTCTTTGCACAAACGAAAAATTAAAAGCATTAATTTTAAATTCAGATTTATTTAAGAATAATTTTTAATTTAGGATTAACTTGAAATTTAATGTTAATAATTTTATGCAGTCTGAAAATTTTAATTATACTCTAATACCTCGAAAAAAAAATTTATCGTTACATTCTTTTTAATCAAAAAGGTCATATAAATATATAGCTTCTCTTACCAAGTAAGAATATTATATGTTGCTAACTCATAAAATAACCTTATAACTCAACACAAAAAAAAAAACAATTTTAGTTTTAAAGCTCCAGCGTTTGTTAAAATAGTTTAAATGAAAATAATATGTAAACGTTAAAAATACATATTATATACCGTTTGCACAAAATTTTATAAAATAATAGACATACGCGCTTGAAATCTGTATGTCACTGTAAAATTTAATCAGGGTAACTTGATTTTATTTTGGATGTAAACGACAATCAGTAGAAGCATAATTAGAAATTTTAAAATCAACCTGTTTGGTCGACCTATTGTAGGTGTTATAAACCTGTGCCAACGACTATAGGATGTTATAAACCCGTTTTATTTATGAGACTCATTACATGGTGTAACACTTATTGCAAATTGGTGATACGAAGTCCAAGTAAAATTATTTTCTAAATGATTAACATTCTTACAATGATGAGCAATGCACTTTTATAATATCGACTATAAACTGAAAAATCTTTTGCGTCGTCGTAGGCAACACGCTGTATTTAAAAGGCACGGAATTTTATCGTTAACCTGAAACAAAACACTTCTTCAAGAAGCTAATATAATATTTTTTGAAGCAAACTATTTTAAGAAAATCAATTTCCCACAAGTAATAATTGAAATATTTTATAAAATTGGAAAAATGAATAATTTCGATAACTTTTTCCTAATAACATGCATGTTCGCATTCGAAACGATTAAAATACCACATTTGTTTGTAAACAAACTATAATCGTGTTTACCAACAGCACGGTTAACACTTGGTTGACTGGCTAACTTAGAAATGTAATTCCTTTTTAAATTCTCCTTTGCTTTTAATTAAGAGAAATATCTTCCCAAATGATGTCAAAATATTATGACACATATTTCTGACATATTCAACAAATCCACAGCTTAGAACGACCAGGAAAGAATACAACTCACCTCTACTCTTCGGTCTATCAACATCCATATCGGAGGAAGGCATCGTTGACACTGGATGGAGTACTCTGGCTTTCGCTAGCGGCTTCCCACCTTTCTGAAGACAGTAATCGCCACCTAGCGGCGGGCGTGGGCGACAGTTTTGGGTACGTTTCTCGATTTGTTCGCGCTGATGTAGCGTTCGGGTTCGCTTTATTTGGACGAGCAGATAATGTATTTGTTAAGATATTCTTGATGATGAAGGAAGTGCTGTCGGGAGAATTATTCACTGAAATTCACTCTCGTGTAGCTGTCCATATCAGGAATTTAATTTTAAAAATATGTGTTATCTTCACCTCTTAATGAGTTTTGTTTTCTGGAAACTGCGATATAACTTGTGAGTAGGGTTTCTGAGTAACGCAGATTTGGGGAGAGATTTTCTGACTCTGGACCTTTACTTTACGTTATGTTATGTTCCAAACAGCTTCCAAATGTTACTGTTTTGGGAAACACAAGACCTTAAATTTATGCACAGTCCGTCTACTAAATTTCAGAACTAATTTAAAAAAAAAATTTTTTTTTAAAAACTGCCACATAATAAATGGCAGCATTTATTACAATGGTATCGCAACTAGCTTCTCATAAAATATCGTCTGCTTATGGACGGAATCTTCCATTACTTTAATCGAAAGAACTTCCTGTTTCATGGATTCAAAAGCTGAGCAAATGAATTGATGCAAATGGGAAACATAAAATCGGAGTTTTTTCAAGTACTGAAGATAAGACTCAATATTACTTCGGAAAACTTTTTTCTCTGTATTCCAAAAGTGAAGCAAAACGTAAGATTAATTGGAAGGTCTACTTTAGATATTGAAACTGTATTACTTCGCAGTGCATTTTTGCGGAAATTCTAACAAAACGTGCGGTAAAAAGTATTTAAATATAAAATATTTTAACAGCCATAATGAAAATTTTTAAAATGATAGAATTCGCGAGTTAATTTGATATTCGCGAAAACAATCCTCTGCTCGTGATATCTTAGAAAAACTCCCTAAAATTTCGTGAAAACATAATTAATAAATAATTATACTGTCCTGTTAATTATTACATGGCATGTAGCTTTAAGACATTTTTACAGGCTGTTTTGATTCCCTTGAAAGAATTATATAATAAAAAAATTAAATATATCTGTCTTAACCAGCAAAGCATGTTTCCTTACTTCAAGCCTTTCGTTCGACGTCTGGCCAGCCAGATATCGAAACTATAGACACACAGTTCACCTATAATTTTCTCGCTCCTTTTCTCGTCCTTTCGTGGTATAATTGGAAGCACATACACCGCGTATTCGAGAGGTCCAGGTTCGAGTCCCGGCGAGGGCATTTCACATTTTTCACATCTCCAGAATTTAAAAAAAAAAAAAAAAAAAAAAAAAAAAAAAAAAAAACTGTTGCGTCTACAAGCGGCGCCCGAACTAAAAGGTGGTGGACAATAATTCGTCACCACCGGGATTTGGCGACTGGGTTCTCTAATTCCCAGTTGCACCCATAGATTAAAGAAATTCATAAAAATAAAGTTTCATAGGAAATCGGCATATTCATCCACTGCACCTAACACTTATTTATGAAAAATAAGCCAACTATTAAAATTAGTTTTAAAAAAACCATGTGAAGTTTTGATAGTTGAAATCTTAAAATATTCTTGTTGTTGTTGTCGTGTCCAGGACAAGTGCTAAAGAGAGAGAGAGAAAAAAAAACATAGCAAGGATTAGGGACAAGAAATCGAATAGGGCCAAAGGCATGAAGCACTGCTCTGGCCACGTCCTCGACTCTGTCCGTGAAAAGAATGTCTCTGGTCCAGTCATTGTCAGTTTGGAAGAGGGCCGCTGCGACACCAGGACAGGCCACGAGATGTCCGGGATCCAGCTTTGTGTTCAGGCAGTGCATGCACTCCGTGTATACCCTGGTTCCATCAGGCAGGATCTTCATGCCCCTCAGGCGCCCCGTTCTTAGTCTTGCGATTGTGATTGTGACATCTTGGGTACAGTGTAACTCAGGTATTGAAAGTTTCGGCCGGGGATGGCCAAAAAGCCTTCACTTTGTGACAGCATTAGCATCAGAAATTGTGGTGGACAGGATGGTGGGTTCGATTGTTCTGGCTTCGTTGACGAGAGAGTCAGCTTGCTCATTCCTCTCGATGCTCACATGGGCTGGGATCCTTTGAAAAGTCTATGATTTCTTCTCTTCCACAATTAAGTCCAAAAGTGAAATCTAAATATTAGAAGTATCAGTATAAAATGAAGTGACTTTGTACTGCTGCATGCGTACGGGTGCGTAATGGATTAAATGTACAAGTCGATAATAAAACTTATTATTATCCCGAGAAATAAAACAAAATGCTGAAATTTCCTCAAAAATATTGCGATATTGCACGAATATCTCTGACGAAATTTCAGCATTTTGTTTTATTTCTTGGAGTAATAATAAATTTTATCCACTTTTATCGACTTGTGCATTCAATCCATTACGAAGTCGTACGCACGCAACACTTTTTGTTGTCAGAAGTGGAGTATTGAACGCCAGTTACAAGAGCGATGGAAGAACAATTCAGGCAATTGATGACTGCATTTGCCAAGAAAAGATGGAAGAGGCCGTCAACTCTGTTAAAGCGCTAATGGAAGCCAGCCAAAAAGAGATGAAATCTGGTCAAGAAAGTTTGAAGCAGGACAAGAAGTGATGAAAGAGAAATTACTTGCATAGTAGAAAATAAATTTGAGGCTATGTAACGCATAATAGACGTTGTTGAAAATAAAGTTTTAAAAACTGAAGAAAATGTTTCTTCTGTCAAAGAACAAATAGAAGAGAGAGTTTTGGCCGTGGAACAGCAAATCGATTACTGAGTTTCTTCTGGCAAAGAACAAATAGAAGATAGATTTTCTGTTGTGGAACAAAGAATCGATGGAAGGGTTTTTGCCGTCCAACACCAAACCGAACAACAAATTGATGACAAGGTTTCTTCAGTCTCCAAAGATTTTATACCCTAAAGAAATTCGTAGCGACGGCAGGGAGCAATTCTGATAGTTTAAAATTTTTGCCTATATCCTGCTCGTCCCTCCCTGAAGTTATCCACATGTGATGGGAAGACCTCTTGGCAAGTGTATAAGACGCAATTTTCAATAATGGCGAAAGCGAACGGATGGGATTCCCAAGCTAAGACCTGTCACCTCGCCGCTTCTCTGAGAGAAGAGAGCAGACGCAGCAGATGTTCTTCAAACTTTCCCAGAAAACCAAAGGCTAGATTTCGAAGCTCTATCCGAGCGCTTTGGGGAGACATGTTTGAAAGACTACAGTAGGTTTCAATTAAAATCCCGTCAACAGAAGCCCGCGGAAACACTACAGGAGCTCGCCACGGATGTTGAAAGGCTGTCTCACCTCGCCTTTATGGAGTTACCTTTTATTCTCGCCTCGAGAGAAACGAGGGGAATACTCTCCCTGCAGTATTTCATTGATGGCATTCGGGATTCGGATTTACAAAAGGCTCTACGAATGGCGGATATCAAAGACTTAAAAAGCGCTCTAGTGTACGCCATGAAATTCGAGGCTGCCCAGCAAGCAACTCGCAAAGATCGCTACCCAGTCAGAAATGTGCAGAATCCACAAGCCAGTGGATCAAAGGATGGCTCATTTAGGTGATTTAACCAGACAAACCAATGCTTTTGATACGGGAAAGGAGTGAGAAGAAACTTACTCTAAAGTGTTGGAAATACGGTGGTGAAGGCCACGTACGAAGGAACTGCAGAACAACCCAAGGCACGAAAAATCAAACAGACTATTTGCAAGACCAATCAGTGCCTTGAGACGGATTTGAAATGGAAAGAATCCAAGTCTAAAGTGCTGGAACTGCATTTGAAGGCCACATACGGAGGAACTGCAGACACCACGGAGCACGGAAAATAAGGCAGATGATTTAAACATACAATTAAATGCCATGAGACAGAAAAGGAGTGACAAGAAACCAAAGTGCTGGAATTGCGGAGCTGATTTTGTATTTATTTGGCTATTTGTAATTAAAATTGCTTTATATCCCCGTGCAATGCAGCACGAGACTTATTTGAAGAGAAAGCTAAGCTGGAATAGTTACAATACAGGAGCACCCGCATTTAACATTTAATAAATAGATATCTCATAATTCTATACTCTTTTGCTTTCCAGAAACCACAAGAAAACAAAAATTGTTAGAATGTTCTCGTGCACGATTAAAAAGCTTTAAAAAGTCGGATTAAAACATATCAGTTCAGTTGTTTACGAAGTTTTTCAATATTTATATTTTAAACTACTAAAACGCTAAATAGAACTCAATTCAAAACAGAGAAAACTAATCTGATCTCACCGCGAATTCGCGACAATCCGCAATAAAAACTTCGTAAACAACTGAACTGATATGTTTTAATCCGACTTTTTAAAGCTTTTTAATCGTGCACGAGAACATTCTAACAATTTTTGTTTTCTTGTGGTTTCTGGAAAGCAAAAGAGTATAGAATTATGAGATATCTATTTATTAAATGTTAAATGCGCGTGCTCTTGTATTTTAACTTTTCTGGCGTAGCTTTCTCTTCAAATAATCTCGTGCTGCATTGCACGGAGATATGAAACAATTTTAATTACAGATAGCTAAATAAATACAAAATCCGTCACAGTATCAAGATACGTAATATGTGGCATCAAAAACATTTTTTATTAATTGCAATGAAGTTGCAAATGTTCATGAAAATTATTTGTTAGATATCTTATAGTTCAAATTTAATTTACATTGTATCATATAGATATATAATTAAAAATTAAAGTTATGAGTTTATTCTTTAAGAAATGTGTTTATCGCTCTTAAATTTCTCAGTTTGTTAAACAGTACAATCACAGTTTTAAAGTTAAATTTAAAAACTCTTTTGTCGTATCAAATGACAGTATTTTAGAAACGGACCAAACTGGCTTATATACTACTTGGAAATGAAATACTCGTATTTACCAAGTAGCAGTACAAATGGCTTGATAGCGTGTCATGGCCTAAAGGAGAAGTTTTGAAATTTTGCACGTGACGGCTTAAACTATTTGAAAGATTTCCTTTTACGGCATAAATATTCTGTTTATAACAACAATACACTGATATTAAATATTATTA